TATCGGTGTCTAAATATATAGCGGGACCCCCAACTTCGAAGAAAACGATACAAATCTCAACAAAAAAGGAAGCTAAATTATGAAAGAAAATTTAACAGGTAGATAGGGTGACGATACCCTCATTCCTATTCAATGGAAAATTCAGGTGAGAATCATTTCTATACTCTTTTAAAAGACTCCAACGATAGTGATAGTGATGATACATCATCCACTATCATTGCAATTTTTACATACTAACCCTTAAATTTCTTAATATTACATAACAACTAAATATAAATGGATAGTCACATACTAACTCCGTCCTAAAATAAGCTCAGCCATAGATATCCGTATCCAACGTTTGACGTTCGTCTTATTTAAAAGAATTATGAATTTTTTTTAAAAAAACAATTATTCAGACATAAAGTACTATTTATATTTTATCATCTAATAACAATAAAAATATTAATCATAAATTTTTTTCAAATAAGACGAACGGTCAAACATTGGATATGAACAGTGTAAAACTACGCTTATTTTGGAACAGATGGAGTATAAAATTAATGTGGATAGACACTTTGTCCTATAAAAAAATGTTGGTAACATATTTCATAAAAAATACATTTTAATTTATTTTAGAAAATATTATGATATTTTTTCTTGTATCTATAGCAAAACACGGATGTTTAGCTGGTATCCAACAAGATACATAGCTGTGTAAAAAGTCGGCTCAATTTCATTCTTAAAGCTTGTTAATTTTTAGAGTATATCTCAATAAACTTAGTCGAGTTTGAACTGGACTCATCATATTAACTGTATGTAAGACTTTCTGTGAATTAACAGGACTTCTTAATCGGGATTTACGTGATTTTTTAGATTAGCCGGAGTTTTCCACCGTATATTTAGCTGTATGCAAGGCTCGGACCGAGCCTGTTGACGGCTACGAGCGCACCACGTCGTCGCCTCCCAACCAACGGCTCAGGTTCAGTGAGGCTAGGCGAGGGAGGGAAAACGATGGCAGCGGCGTCGCTGGCACTCGGATCGCCGCACGCTGAATCGTCGCGATCCAGCCGTTGATTTCTCCTCCTTGCCCCTTATACGTTATCTGGATACGACATCGGTGCCGTACATGTTCGGAAAATGGCATGTCCCATGAGTCGTACGTGGTCCCCGCATGGTAGAATCTTACTACTACTACTTCATCTGTCTTTATACTGTTTGAACACTCATCTTATTAAAAAAAATTGTACAAATATAAAAAACGAAAAGTCTAGTTTGAAGTACTACACTATTGTACTGGAGTATCAACCAACATGCTCCGTGTTTGTCGTGTCAGCTTAACGTGGTTCCAAAATTCACGTCTTGATATTTGTCTTAACGATGTGACATTTGACAGCAAAGTTTCGTCCGAGATAAACTTGGGTAGTACTGACTCCGTCCTAAAATATAGCTATTTTTAGCACAGTACTTTATTTCAAAATAAAGTTATTTTTCTACCTATCTTCTCCTCTTAACCAATCACAATCATTCTTTTTCATCTACTTTTTCTTTTCAACCAATCACACACCTTCTTCAATCATTCTCACCTACTTTTTTAATACCCGTGCTAACATTAAAAATACTTATATTTTAGAACGGAAGAAGTAGTACATCTTTTCGTTTCGTTTTTTTTAACTCATCTTTTCGTTTTGGTTAACAGTTTGACGCACACAGGTTGAAGTGCCACTGTGCCAGCAGAAAATCTTCGTGACAAAAAAGCAAGATCATCCATTTCATGTGAAGTTCCGATTTGCTGAGCTAATTTCTTCATACAACACTTTGGTGATTCATGGACGCCTTCGAACCAAAAGGTGGATTTGGAGGGTGCCATTTGATAAACTCTTTTTTATGCATAAACTGCCTTAGGAGAAGTGGAGAACAGAGGGAGAAAAAAATCTTTCGTTTTTCACTCGTACGCTTTCCGACTTGCTAAACAATATGTTTTGCAAAAGTTTTCTATAGAAAAAAGTTGCTATGTAAATATCACACTATACAAGTGATTTTCCTAGACAAAAACCCATTAAGATTGCATGCGGGTGGTAATTAGGACCGCACGCGAAAATAGACCGATTTTTCCGTGCAGATCTATTGAGATAACCGCACGGAAAAATAGTTTCCCTCCTACCCACTTTGAAAATTTTGTTTTTTTCCCATCCGCGCGCGCCTAAGTCTGGGTCTTCGGGAACGGACCTCTCTGTCTCACTCCTCTCTATTGGTCTCTCAGCCCTCTCTCTCGATCTCTCTCTCTCAGGCGCAGGGGGTGGGCGGTGCAGGCGGCAGCACGAGCGGCGCGGGCGCAGGCGGCGGCGGCAGATGGCGCGGCTCGCGGCCCCTCCCCTCCCCTCGGCTCCCCTCCCTCCCTCCCCTTGCATCCGGCACCAGCGGAGGGGAGGCATGGGGGCGGCGGCCACGACGGGGCCCGCGGCTCCTCCCCTCCCCTCCTTTCCCGGCGGCGACGGGAGCGCGCGGGCAGCGGATCTGGCGTCAACGACGGTAGGGGGCGGCAGATCCGTCGCCGGCGACCGCGGCGACAATGGATCCATCGCCGGCAACCGCGGGATGACGGCGGCGGGCCTCGGCTAGGGTGGCGGTGCCGCCGCCGGCGGCGGCGGCTAGATTAGGGTTAGGGTTTGTTTTTTCTTTTATTTTGGTTTCAACTTAAGCGCCCGCACGCAAAAAATGATTTTCGCGTGCAAGTGCGTCGCCCGCACGAAAAATCGCGCATTTTCGCAGACGATTCCTTCTAGACGGTCGAATCCTCCGCACGCGAAAATCGATTTCATCCGCACAGAAAAATCCCTATTGTAGTAGTGTATATGAATTTATTTACAATATTGAAATAATTAATACGTAAATTGTCATACACTAATAACTTACGTTGCTTTTGCATATTTCTCAATCTTCCTTTTTCCTACTCTCAGACACACCTACTTTCTCATTTGGGTTTATTGGGCTAGCTACTCGTTTACTACTCCATGTATTATTAAACGATGTGTTTTATTTTTTAAAAAAATTGTATATAAACGTTTCTTTAAAAATTCAAATAAACCCTATCATTAAAATTATAACAGTTAATACTAAGTTAATATAGCATTAATAGTGTTACTCGTTTTGTGTGCCAGGCGTGTCTCACCTTTGAATTAGGCCCTATAAGTGGATATTTGGATATGATTGTACAACAAGATAATCAAAGAAGCCCTTTGAAGATAGATAAATTACAGTTTGATCATGAAAACAATCAAAGAAATACTTAAAAAATGAAAGAAAAATAAAAGCAACTAACTACTTGGCTTCACTTTGGCCACAACAATAGTGGTTGGACTAACATGGGCTAGGATAGTAAAACCATTACGAGCTATAGAAGAAGACACCAAGACGCAAACTTAGATAGAACGTCCAAAAGTTGGAGGTTGAGGCAACCTCGATGATGAGAGAGAAATTCAGCCACACCATGAAAAGCCACCGCCAAAAATAAGTAAGAAGACCATTGCAATTGTGAGTAGCTCACCAGAGAAGAACGTATTAGGTAGCGCAACCTCCTTTTGATCGGGACGTAGGGCAAACTTTGCATCGCAAGTAAACCCGCCACACTATCAACTACAGGTGTTGATGGAGAGCCTAGAAACCACATGATGGGAGATAGTCATAGGAGAAGACTCCGAGAATGCCGTCCATGCCAACTGCATCCATCATGTATCTAAAATATTTTAGACGGTTTCTCCTTTGATCATATAAAATTATCATATCATAGATTTTCTCTTACCTTTGGTAACAAACTGACAATGTCTTTATTCGCACCGTTTTCTTTTCTTACTCTTGCTCTATTTTTCTTCCTCCCCTCCAAACTCTACTTCATGAACCCATCGTATAAGAATAACCACGGCGATACAGAAAGGAGATAGAGACTATACTCACCAATGTTATTTATGTAGTACAACAATTGTATATTTTTATCATTTAAGGCATACATTATAAATTAGATTCCAAAAGGGGGGGATGAATCAAATTTGGAGTTCATCCACCCAAATTAGAGTTGATACCTCTGTTATATTATGGCCCCCTTTTTATTCCCTTTTAAGAAAACGAGATACTTTGATGCTCTCATATTTTTATTTTCAATCGGGCTTTATCCATACCATTCTTGTATAGTAGTCCAGATCATAATCATATCCATTTCCCTTTCCCTCTGGAAGATGAAAACAGAGGTCCTATGAAAACAACAAAAGGAGAATGTTCGATCCAATATGCCTAACATCGAAGAAAGGGTCAAATTGCGCGCGAACAACATGATCCCCTAACCTTTGACCGTCTACGATTGTAGATCGGTACATCCACATCCCGTTACCCTAGTGGGATATTACTGCCACACACTTGGCAATTACGCGAGCTGGAGGAAATTTTGGATATATTTTTTTTTTCATTCTTAGAACGAAAAGATCAAACCAGCAACGGAAAAAAGAAAGAAAATGAATGGAAGAAACGGAATTGGGTCAGGGCTACCCAACGAATTTATGTCGGATACGAGACGCTGACCGCGTCAAAGCTTCGGGTGCCGGCGCTGCGCTCGCCACGACGACGTGCGCCATGTCGGCACAAGCTTAATCACTCGTAGTCTCGTACTAATCACTTGATCCTACTGCCGACCTGGTAATTAATTTGCCCACGCTAATCCTTAGAAAAAAAGAAGAATTACCGATGATAATTTCCAACCGTAAACCGTAAACCGATCATAGATTTACTACGCTTGTTCATACCGGGACATAGATAAATAAATTCACAAAAACAGAATAAACAAAACCAAGGGAAGCGTTGCTGCAAAGGGATGATATATGCAGGTTTGAAACCAGCTTTAGAAGACGGCTATTCTGTCACGTTGCTTAATCTCCTTTAATTTCTTCTTTTTTTTCTCTCTCTCTTCGTGCCGATTACTAGAATACGCACGCCACAAACTAGCCCTATAAATGCGCGAGTCGTCCGCTGAAAACTTTCGGAAGGGTTGAAACGAGAATTAACGAGATAAACCTCTCCTCTGAATTCTGATCCCTCTCTCTTGCATCGAAGCGACTCTGTAGTAGAGAGACTCCGGTGCATATGAGACGTTGATGTGCTTCGACCTGGCAGACCAACGTGGACCACGCGGCGGCGGCGGCAGGCCGGTGAAGGGCGGCGGCGACGGGCGTGCGGCGGCGGCGGCGGCGGCGACGGCAATGACGGTGGCGGGGGCGTCGGAGCTCATGTCGGGGTATTACCAGGCGCAGGAGATGTCGACGATGGTGTCGGCGCTGGCGCGCGTCGTGGCGGGCGGCGGCGGCGGCGGCGGCGACGGCGACGGCGACCAGTGGGCGTGGTCGTCGCCGTCGCCGTCGTCGTCAGCGGCGGCGGCGGCGGCGCGTGGCGTGCAGGAGAGGAGGCGGGAGGAGCAGGCAATGCACGAGCTGGCGGGATACGCCTGCGGGGGCGCGCCATCGCCGGAGTTCGCAGGTAATGGAACAGCGAACACGCGTACGCTTTGCTTACCAACTTCTGCTCTTTGCTTTGCAACTTTTTTTTTTCACGAAACGTGGCAAGCATGGTCAATGGACAAACCAGTTGCAACTTTTTAGGCATGCCCCCCAAAAATTCACCAAATATAAGCGCTTTTGCGTATATTTTAACTTCGGTTTCATATCATATCCTCTGTTCAAAGTATCTAAAAAAAATTCTCCATTTGGAATTTGTACGGTGCAATATACACATGTGGTGACCTTCTTTAAAAAAAATTTCCAGAGCATGCATGTACCCGAGCACTGCTACATGTACTAAAATTTATACTAACAATAATCTCAGCCATTTGATTTAGATAGATAAATGTTATAAAAAAATCTAAATATACTCGTAGCATGACACATCGGTTTTAGTAAGAATTTAGTAAAAAAAATATAGTATGTATAGTCTTTTCCAGTGTTATACCCTTAGTTAAGCGAACGGAAAATGACAAACCAATTGCACCTCTATATAGTTTAAAGCTTTACAGCGGAGTTCCATTCAAACATAAAAAACATTATTTTCCTTTTCTTTTCGCCCAAAACCAACAATTTTCTTTATTAAGCTTAAATAGCAATACCACTTGTCACTACGAAACAAATGGGAGACAGTATGCATACCCATGCAGTTGCGAGCGTAACGATAAGTCACACGCATGCGTGACCCGAAGCTTAATATCAAAGTATTTGACGGGAGCGGCAGGGTGGTCGCCATATCTGCATGTTACAGCTGACATCAGGGGTTCAAAACAAACCATATCTGCACGACACAGTTGTACGCCATTCACCGGCACAGCACAAAAAAAGTCTTCGAATCCACTGCACCTCCGCAACACAACAAAGATACAGCTAAGCCATTCCCCATGTGAATCCGTTGGGCAGCGCTGCTGCATGCGTGCACTGCATTTGCTCTCTCTCTCTCGATGTGCTTGCGTAACACACAGGATATATACACTTCACAAAAGATACTACTGGAAAGTATAAATGAGGAAAAAATGTTATTAAAAGTACATGGGCAAAAAAAAAAGCTGTCTGAATAAAATTATAAGCTGGTGTCATGTCATCACTTGCATTTGTATAGTTCATTCCAAAAATAATTACACTCGTTTTGTGATAGAGATCGTCCACTTCTCATTTTATAATTTATATTGCGCCACATCGCATTCATATTTCATATACTACATGTGTGTGTATAGTAGTTAATAGTGGTAAAGCGAGCAGGTTTTGAATTCGCATTTGCTCTTTTCTTTCTTTCTCTGTGTCGTTTGCTCACGCCTCGTGCGGTCGCGTGTATAAATATGTGGTTGCGTGTGCAGGATCGGAGCAGAGCTCGGACACCCAGAGCGCGAGCGCGGCGACCATGGACGAGCACCACTCGCCGGTGGGCGGCGGCGGGAACGCGGAGGGGCCCGACACGCCGCGGCGGCGGTACCGCGGGGTGCGGCAGCGGCCGTGGGGGAAGTGGGCGGCGGAGATCCGGGACCCGCACAAGGCGGCGCGGGTGTGGCTCGGCACGTTCGAGACGGCGGAGGCCGCGGCGCGGGCCTACGACGAGGCCGCGCTCCGGTTCCGCGGCAGCCGCGCCAAGCTCAACTTCCCCGAGGACGCGCGCCTCTACCCGACCGCCGCCACCACCACCACCGCGGCGCCGCCCCCGGCGCCGGTCGCGGCGGCATCGCCTTCCGCGGCCATCTACCCCGGCGCCTCCCAGAGCGCCGAGTACCTGCGCTACCAGATGCTTCTGCAGGGGAGGCTTACCACCGCCACCCCCAACCAAGGCACCCTTCTTCCGTTCTACGGCGGCGGCGGCGGCGGTGGCTCCATGACCAATCCCTACGGAGGCGGTGGCGGCGGCGCCATGAGCGGCTTCCTCGGCTCCTACTACTCTTTCCCTACCCCCTCTGTTTCCGTGGCCACCGTCCCCTCCTCCACCTCCTCCGCGCCGGGCAACTACTACTCGTCCCACGGCGGCTCGCACCAGAGCATGTCGGCGGCGGAGGAGTGGAACTGGGAGAACGCCCTGGTCTACCCGGCGACGGCGGCGTCATGGTCGGAGTCGAGCTATCACCACCACCCGCCGCCGCCGCACACGCAGTAGCCGCCGGATTCTGTCCTGCTCTCTTTCGCTTCTGGAAGAATAAGGTAAGCACGGACGGCTGGGATGAGACGGAGAGACGGAGATGGACGTCGCAGATTGTCTGATCGCGTTCTGCTCTGATCTTTTTTCTTTTGTTCGTTGATTAGATTTGGTGGTATGGGAATATGGGATGCATCTCCATTGTTTTCTCTTTTTTCTTCTTTTTCTTTTTCTTTGATCATGTTTTGGGTGCAAATTAGAAGAGGAAGAACGATGAGAGGACTAGATTTGTTAGATGGATGTAAAAGCATGCATTCTCCGAGTTCTTTATGAGAGAGTAATGGTTGGTAACAAGGCACAAAATCTTTGTCTCTGGTTATGGTCTTATAGAATTGGGTAGACATGTGAGACAGTTGGATTGCACAAGTGTTAGATGCTTGCCTACCTTATACCACGACATTGGCGCTAAGGACGTTTACACCAACTACTGGATGAAAACAAGACACCACGCTCGTTTTGAAGATGTATTCTCCTAATTATTATGTTGATCGAGAAAAATAAAAAAGAGATGCGTGATTTGAATGCGATGGTTTCACGTTAAAACGGCAGGGACTATCGATATATTTATGTGCAAAAAACGAATCATATCTATAGAAACCAAATCAACAGTTACATATGAAATCTCCAACATCAATATATATCCGTCCGGTCTTTAGATATGTTCATCGAAATAGGATGTGCGCGCATGTACGTAAGGACGAGTGCACACATGTTTTGAGTCCCTCTATTACGTGTTTCTAGAAAAAAATGTTTTTAAAATCTATCTCTGCGTAAAATCAGTTACTCGGACAGAAGACAAGTAGAAACACATAATAGGAATGTCTTTATATGTGCTTATAAGAAAGCGAAGATAGGACAAATTTATTATAAAAGAAATGAGATTTTGAGGGAGAGATGACCCTCCAAATATTTTTTTAAGAATAGATCATGAGCGTGTTAGGGATTGAACACGAGACTTCGGGGTTAAAACCACACACCCCTTACCACTGCATGCATCTCCAAATTTACTAGCATAAATTCTTACTATAAAAGACCTGCGTGTATGTAAGATCTGAAATAGTTAAATGGTAGAAGTATAGAATACTAGAGAATGAGTGGATGTCTTGCAAGACCTTGGATGATAGATATTCTAACAACGATATCGCCTTGGATATTAGTAGTAGATTGGCCAACATCACCATGTCAACATCGATCGCCGTCGACCTAATTATTCCGATTGGAAATGATTTTGCCCAAGATTATGGAAGAGCGACATAGGAATTAATTATCGGCTTCAAATTAGGCACCAGCAAAGTTGAGAACAAAGATCCAACTCCGCATACAGGCCCATGTTCTTATTACGTGGACACGTTGAGTCTGTGAAACTAAAATGGCCCATTAGCGTCTCCAAGTGGTAGTCCGGAACGTACTCTGTCCTCTGACATGTGGGACCAATAAGTAAACGCCGAATAGGTGGGCCCAGACGAACTCTCTTCCGTTCCCGAAGCCGCCGTCGGGTGCATGGACAACGGCCGTTGAACTGACGTGGACTGGGCCCCACATTCCGAACCGTCCTACCCTTCCAACCCCCGCTTCCGTCCGGCCCACCCGACGTCCGTTCCGTTCCACCCGGGCCAGCTCACCGCCAGCCCAAACCCCGCAGCCGACGCGCTTCCCCGTTGACGCCGTCACCTCCCGTCTCCTTAACCGCGCCAGCCACGGCCGCGCCGACACGTGTACCCGCGTCGCAGGTGGGTCCCACCTGCCAGCCATTCGAGAAAAGCCACGTGGCGGACGGCGGTTTCACGGCGTCGGAAAGCGGGACTGACAGGTGGGGCCAGCACGCCACGTCTGACGTCTCCCTCTCGGCAACCCAACCCACCCCAAGCATCAACCGCTTGCTGCTACTAGCCGCCAGCCAAAAGCAGCGGCAGCGACGCCTCACCTCGCCTCGCCCTCGTCTCCGGCCGCGCCGCTTGCTGGGAGCTAGCTTTGGAGGAGGAGGAGGAGGAGGGGCGCGAGCCATGGCGGAGAAGGAGGAGTCAACGTCGATCCCGCTCAGCCAGGCGGCGGAGGCGGTTGACCCGGAGGACCCGGCCAAGTCGCCGCCGCGGCCCAGCTCGCCCACCACCTCCACCCGCAAGGTCTGGATCTAACCCCCCCAACCCACGCGCTCGTCGTGCTGCGCCTCGCGGCGAGGGGCGGCTGCATTGGGGGGCTAATCGCGCGCCCGTGCTGCTCCTGTTAGGGGGCCCCCGCCGTTCCCGTCGGCCGCGTGGATTCCTGCTTCTCCGTGGTTGGATCTGTGCGGATTTGGTCTCGTGTTTTTCCCGTGAGCTTTGGGCGTGGATTCCGAGATCGATGGGTTGTTCCGAGGGGTTGATCGGTTTAGCTTTCGCTAGGTTTAGATTCAGGAACTTTTAGCTAAGTTCATATTAGTCCCTTGTCTGCAATGTAGTTGGTGGTTGGGCTACTAGAGTAGGAAGGCCGCAGCGTGATATTTACACCATATTAGCTGGTTGGATTTGTTGAGATTTTAGGCTATGCGAAAGCTTGTGAATATTTGCCATCGTGTGGTTGCAAAAAAAATATGTTTAAATACTCAAGCGTGACTGGATTTGGTACCAGATTTTTCGGCATGTCCCTATGCTAAATTTGGAGTCTGGGGCTTTTGGTTTCCATATTCAGTTTATGTCCTATGCTAAACATGGTCTAATTCCAAACTAGTGGTGCTAGAATAGCCGTTTATAGATAAATTTGGACCTAATATGAAACACAATGTTTTTTCAATGCTTTTCTGCTTGCAATTTAGACTTCTACAAGTAGACAGTTCTTCTTTGAAAGAAATTAGGACTGAATAAATTTCCAGTTCATTAATTCTGCAGGCTGAACATTTTTGTGCTTAGTGTGTTTCCATGCCTCCAAGAAATTTCATCTATGCCCTTACTTGGAGTAGTAATGCAATGCACTACTTTGTTCATAAATTTATGGACATATCATAATCAGATGAACCTTGGTCTAATCTCTTAGTGTTGTTTGCATTTTTGTCATAAATTTGCAAAAACAGTTGTGTTCAATAGGAATGAGTTTTATGCACTTCTTAAAATTTCATGTATTTATTTCATTCTTAGTTTGGTGTGTTTTGTGCAGGCATGCTGCGCTGTTCTTCAAAGTTGGGTGTCAAGAAAATTTATGACTGGATGGTACATCTTTGACAGGAACCAAGTTAAGCATGTTACCAAACAAAAAGTAAAAAATCATGCATTGTTCTTCTTCCCTTTTTTTTTTTGCAGCGTCGTTCTGTTTCCTGTTGCTGTCACGTTCTTCATCACATGGTGGTTTATTCAATTTGTTGATGGCTTTTTCAGCCCACTATATGCAAAACTTGGGATCGACATATTTGGTAATTGTGGTTTTCAATTTAGCCTCACATTTTCTACTTTGAACTTCCTAATTTTCTTCTTGCACACATGTGTGAAAACATGTACTGACACTTTGAAATTCAAGCTCTGTGTGCAAATTAAACTGATGAGAGAGTGAGACTAATATTGGTGGTATTAGCAACTATTTTCTTTTTGTTTTATCATTAATTTGTGAAAATTATTCTTGATTTAAGATCCTCTACTGCAGTGATAGTTTGCTAAAGATGAATCGTATGTCTGATATTATTTCTCTTTACCACCAAATCCATTTTATGTTTGTGGCAAGTGCTTATTATTGTTGGCACACTGCAGGTCTTGGTTTTCTGACTTCTCTGGTATTCATTTTTCTGGTTGGAATATTTGTTTCCTCATGGGTGGGTTCAACCATCTTTTGGGTTGGAGAATGGTTTATAAAGAAAATGCCATTTGTTCGGCACATATACTCTGCATCAAAGCAAGTCAGCACTGCCATTTCACCAGGTATACTTCCATACACAAATATATTCATGACACATTGACACTATCATCAGCCACATTGGACAAATGAACTTACCTCATAAAATCATCTTGTTTGGCAGATCAAAACACAACAGCTTTTAAAGAAGTTGCGATAATTCGTCATCCACGTATTGGTGAATATGCATTTGGATTTATAACATCAACTGTTGTTCTTCAGGTAATTCATGTAGGGTTCTATATGGAATAAATATGAGTTAGATTAACAAAAATCTGTTATTGAGGTGCTTCGTCATAGACATGCCATGCCATGTATGATCCGTAATAGGTGCAACTGTGCTTGTTCTTATGTTAGTCTTGTTTGTGTTCTATGGCAGACTGACAAAGGCGACGAAGAACTGTGCAGCGTTTATGTGCCAACAAATCATCTTTACATTGGTGACATATTTCTGGTGAACTCTGAGGAGATAATAAGACCAAATTTATCCATTCGAGAAGGAATCGGTTGGTTCTCCTATCTTGCTTATGTACTATCTCCTACTGCAATATTGCATGATCATGTGCTATTTTACTGGTTTCTCCTGTGCTTAATTTCTCTCTGCATAGAGTGGATGATAAAACCTTCCTGAAGTCAATCGACCCATGTAATTCTAAATTTCTAATACAGTGTTTTTCTTTTCTTTCTGCATCATTCAGAAATAATTGTTTCTGGAGGAATGACTATGCCACAGGTGATCGCGTCCCTTGAACCCACCCCAAGGAAGAGCCAGAATATCCGTCTAAATAGAATAATGACATAATGTCATACGAGAGCTCAAGTGCTCAACACGGTGGGTTATTAATCTCTCAGCAATTAGCCCCAGCAATTCTTGTTTTCATGTTTACTAATATGCACATGCTCCTCAAGCAGATCGTGTTATGTGTGGAATCGGTGTGACTCTGGTGCTCTGACCATTGCTCTGTTCATCTTCGTTTCTGTTGTGTCAAAATGTGGAGGCTGGAGAGGAGAACACGGCGTGAGATTGATCGAGCCATCTTAGGCTCGTGGCATTACAGAAGGTGGCGGAAGCACCATATCGATGCTCAGGAATAGTATTGGTTGTGTGTCACATGCCGCGCTACTCTTTGGTTGCTGACTGGTCTGAAATGTTAACGTCCCTAGTGCAAGTGCAACTGATTAAATTCATTTGTAACAATATCATGTATAACATCATGTCGACCTCGTATTACGTAGAGTTGATTATACCATGTGAGAGCATTTCTTTGTTTTATCAATGGAGGGCGCTTGCATCCAATCCTTTCGATCGTCAAACCACTGCAGTGATATATATTCATTAAGAAAGTGTACACCATTTTTAGGGCATATGAGCACAGGTTTAACATATCCATGCTGAATTGCATAAGAGGGGGCATCACATAACAGAGAACACGGGTTTAACTGATCCATCCATCCATACATGAAAGACAGTTCACACCACTTTTTGGGCAAAGGTGAAACATATATCGGTTCATGCAAGCTAAGTGCACGAAATCCAAAAGTTAAGGTAAGCTTATAGCTTTGGCTCCTCACAATTCCCAGGAAAGAACTATATATTCTGCATCTGTGAGAAGGAAATCCTGATGTTGGTTCGGTCCAGCTTGCTTGCGTGCTTCTCCACGAGCGCCTCTGTTGCCTCTTCCACGCTTTCAAACAGCACAAGGGCCTGCGTTTTGCCGTTCGTCTCGAACAGTCTTGAGTTGGCGATAGTCCCATGCTCACCAACAAGGGAATGGATGGTATCTTCAGTTATGTCCTGTGGAAGCGCTGAGATGTGGATCATCTTGGTTGGGGCGCAACAGTGGCGGTAGTTCTTCACCACATTGCTGTTAAATCTGTTGAGGTGAGAAGTTGAGTAGTCACGTGCATCTGGATCAGCAGTAACGGTTGGGTACTTGGAGTAGTTCACTTCAAGCTTCTTTCCGAATAGCATTGCTCCCTGGATAGGAAATGCCATTAGAACAGAGCGTGATACGCAGCAACATCCACACACACACACACACACACACACACACACACACACACACACACACACACACACACACAAGAGAGTGTCCAGAATAAAAGAATGTGTGACCAAGAAGCACCTTTAAATACAGTACAGCAAGCTCAGCCTGAAGCCCGTCAGCCATCTGGATGAGGGCATGATCTGGTTTATTTTTGAGTATCTTGATACGCACGATATTCCCATACATTGAGAAAAGGTTGAAGAGCTTATCCTCATCAATTTTCTGCATGGAAGGATTAACCCATAAAACTAAGATATTGGTAAAGTGAATTTGGGAGAGTTTATAGCTAGTGAAATCTTACATCAGTGTTCAGATTGCTAACTAGAAGTGTGCAACGGTCATTGATGCCAGACACTCCAGGAGGCAATGTTCCACCAAAAGCAGCAGCGATCATTGCTGCCTTACTCATCTGGTATGGAGAAATATTAAAATAACAAAGTGCAGCAGATGCTTTGTATGAGATGTCCATGCTAACCTAAGACAAGCATAGATAGAAGCAGTAAAAACTAAACGCGGCTATTATCTGCAGGGTTTAAGGATTCATAATACATACCTGTGCATACGGATCTGTGTACAGCAGAGAGACGATCAAAAGAAATAAGTTAAACATGTTTTATCAAATATAGAAAAAATGGATAACAAACAAATCAAGGAACAGTGGAATGTCTTACCTCCAGGTTGCTGGAAACCAAACAAACTGCTTGGATCATTATAACTAGGCTGTTCCAAACAGAAACAATGGAGGTGAGATACTTCAGCATAGCAGATCGAATTGTCCACATAACAATAATTGAAAGTAAACAGATAATATAAAATAACAATAGAACAAAATGAGTTGAGGACATACCTGAGATGATCTTGAGCGTTGTTCTGTAGGCAAAGATGGATTTGTGAAATCTCTGAACAAGGAAAACAAAATGAGTTGAATTTTCAAGCTCCATAGAAAATTGACAATGAACAAAACAATATTGCAGTTATAAATTAGGTATCTGATACCTAGATCTATCGTTGTTGTAGTGAACTTGCAATTCGCTGAGACTGCAGATTCAACAGAACAAGTTAGATTCAGGAGAGCTAAGTGTGAAAACTAAGTATATGGTGTAGCAATTGCTACAGGCCTTACTTAGAATATTGAATGTCTAGCTGGCAGCAACCATCATATATGTTCCGTCCCTGAGATTATGTTATTTTCCAAAAGAGTGAGTTTAAAAGCAGCATAAGAAATGAACAGGAAACCTACATGTAAAGCACCATAAGCTGTATATTGAACAGGAAACCTACATGTAAAGCACCATAAGCTTGTATTGCACTTTGACGTGACTGATATTGTATGAGGGTTTGAAAGCCTGCACCACCAAAAAAGATCACCATAGCAAACAAGTCTTTTAATTCAGCATGTAGTAAACATATCGTCATTCCAGCAAAAAAAAATGCACTAAAAACATGGCTGTGAATATTATAAATAATTTAATTTTTTTTGAACGACTATGCAGTTGAGAGAACTATGAAATACGCCTCATAATCTGCATGCTATCTGGCAAGGAAAACACTGCATTAAATGCAAGAATAGAGTGAGAATGAGAGGTAGAAAGAATCTGACCGGCTGACTTTTGAAATGTGACTATCTTCTCCACAAATCCATAGGGAGAAAACACTTGATGAAGCACTTCAATGGTTATAGGGTAAAGCATATGATGAATGGTTACTAACAGAATTCGGTTAGGTTCTTCCTGAGGCCCAGCAGCAGACGAGTACCGAGAAAGAAAAGAGGAGAGAGATAGAAGAATGAATAAAGAAGAATAGGCACATCTAGTTGGAACAGAAGAGAAAGCAGAGAGATAGAAGGAATGCAAACTAATCAATCAGTGGGGACAAATGAATAGGTACATGGAAAATAATAATGCTATTGAAATCAAGATGTTTTGACAAAAATGTTTTTTTTCTTTTTGTAATATGTGAAGACTATCACATGCTAGGTGGTAAAACAAGAGAAAACTGTATCTAGCAGCTACACTAAATAAAAGCCTTATCCTGCATCCCATGTGTCAATGCCTGAAATATACACCTTGCCAACAAAAACTGACAATCATACAGTTATGAGAACTTAGTCTTCCAGCTTATAGCCAAAAACCTTGGAGCATGCTAAGGATTGATTACTGTTATAAGAGAAGGCACATTTTTCTTGCACCAGTAATAACTGATAAAGTTCTCCATGTATTTTTCTTGTAACAGAAACTCATTCTCTGTTAGGTTGGTATAATAAAACTTATTATTACAATATCGTATATCATAGAAGAACAAACCATCACTCCAAACAAAACTAAACTCTAGAATAGAGGGAAAACTCAAAGTCCACAATCATGAAAGCATACCTGATCAGGATTTCGTCCATGAGAGCTCTGATCAGTAGTCAATTCTTGGTGGGATGAATATTGCAAGTAAACATTTCTTCCCCTAATATATGGCATAAAAGCACATTTAAAATTACATAATAATATGAGTATCATATCTGTATCTATATTATCAAAGAAAACATAACAAAATTATGGGAAACAATGAAACTTCACCATCATATTATCATATGCAACATACAAATGGCACAACTCTTTCCTATAGCAGATAAGTGCAACAGCTTCAAAAGAAAATATATAAACAGAAGTCATTAGCACCTATATTCAGTGAAGCTGATCTATAAGCAGTCTTAAGAAATGGCTGTTTTTCCCCCAACAAACATAGCTTGTCCGAACAATTATTCTAACAAAAAGTCAAAATAATACTATTATACCAGAAGAGATGCCCTTGGGATGCAACAACACCTGGTCTAAGAACAAGCTTACCTTACACTGGGTTGAATTGTATTGTAGTATTGGATCACATTCACAGCAGAAGCTAAATCCTCCATCTGGACGAGAGCCTTTAACAGCAGCACAACCACATTACAACCACGCATGTCCATTTATAACAACTCAAACAGAAAAAAAAAAAGTAGAAGCCGAGATCAAACCTGGTTCTTAGCACGCAGCATGACGAGCTTGGCGACAGTGCCGAACGGCTGCACCACCTGGAGCAGTTCGCTCTGTATGCAACAGAAAGACCACAGAAAATATCAAAAAAAAAATCGTACTCCGACAAGCAGCTCATGAACTGCAAAAGCGCCAGCATCTCTTCACCTCGGAGATCTCATGCCCGACGTTCCGTATGTGGATCACCTTGGAGGGCTCGGCCATCCTCCCGCACCACGCCCGCACGCAACTCTGACCACACGCACACACACCCAATCAAAAACCCACCCACGCAAAGCAAACGAACGAATTAATCGATCCACCGAACCAATCGAACCGTAGAATCGATGAGCCAAACAGGAGAGGAGGACCGCGAAGGGTACCTCCGAACTAGGGTTTAGGCGGTGGGGGCGGAGCCGCGGAGGAGCTAGGGTTTAGCCTTGCGCGCGCGACGAAGGGGGATTGGCGAGATAAGATGAGGCGGCGCAGGAGAAGGAGAAGTGGAGGGGTGGATGCAGTGGCAGGGTGGGTCAGATTTGGGGAGTCCGCAATACGCACGGAAGAGGAGGAGACAGCATAGCACCCGCTTGGATTAACTCGGGAGACCGCGACACCGGCAGCCAATGCCGCCAAATCACGGAGCAGGAACATTTGCTAAAATTGACGTAAGTAGATGGATCTCCTCGGAAAGTCGATGATTTTTTTAAAAAAAATAAAACGTATAAACGTATGCGCTCATCGCGTACGTACGATCTATGAATATAGAGCACATTTTATCCTATAAAAATATCTCTAGAAAACCGGACAGATATATTTTAAGATTTACGAAATCACTACCGATGAATACATCATTTGCCACTAAAAAATTAACCATAAATACTATTTATGTGAAGTCTATAACTTAAATTTGGGTGGGCTGGTTTTACCACAATAAACTTAATCGGCTGCGGGAGGCCAGATTCCCTAACATTAAAAACAAAGCAAGCGATTAGAGCGAGATTAATTAAATATTACCCTAAAAAATTGAAAAAATAGATTAATATAACTTTTAAAGTAACTTTTTTTAGAAAACTTTAAAACAAATATACCGTTTAACAGTTTAAAAAACGTGCGTGTGAAAAAAGGAGATAGGTGAGTTAGGAAAGAAGGGAAGGAACACAGTTAATAATTGATTTCGTGCTAGAAGATCAGCAGTGCTTCTGCTGATTTGCTGCTGTTAATGATATCATGGCGTTCTTCTACAGTAAAGCCTGTATTGATCGAGCCATCGGCTTCACGCCGCGACGAGCCTTAAATAATTCGACAAACAGGCTGTCAGTTACAAATTTTATTTCAGTCTGGAATATAATTTTTTTTTAGAATTACACAGTACAACGCATACACTCACCCCTATAAACGCACGCATGCAAAGCCTACCCCTATAAGCATCTTCAAAGACTGCGCCGACAAGATTAACAAAGTCATCACAGGCGCCTCCCTGGGTATGTCGCCTACCACTAAAAGCACAGAGCCGGTGTTACTGAGGCTCTTTATAACCACTAGGCTACAGGCCCTTTCGTAGTCTAGAATATAAATTTGATGGCACAATCATCATGTAACATATACTCAAATAAATCAAATGATGTATCAGACAGAATCACAAAATCTGTTTTTTTAAAGTTTGCCTAACAAAAATTAAGATCAGATATGACAACCTAAAATGAAACCATAATGGCACATCTCCAAAAAGAAAAACATGCAGAAACAGAGGAGCCGTATCCTCTGCGTTTCGGTTCCACAGACCACAATAGAAATACTACTGCAGGAGTTATTATCTAGCTTCAATAGACTTTGAACATCGTATAGTAGAGGGGAAAATGACAGTCAATTGAGTGGTCCAAAGTACGAGAAGCCCTTTACAACACATAGATTTCCACTAATCTTACAGCCTTATGCACGCCTCCTTTAAAAAACAAAATCGACAATGCAATCAGAGAAGAATTCTTAAGGGGGCGTATTCTCTGCCCAAACCTGTATGTATTCTGGTGGTTCAATGAGGAAAATCTCAGCGGTTTAGGTATTGACTACAAGTTCAGCCCACCATTAGTCTATGGCAATTATGAGGAAACCAACTGAAATATACATGAGGAAGACGGGATACAGGGCCAGAGCCTTTCTCCTTGGGTTAACTGCAGCACTCATGAATGGATATGCAGCCCAGGAACTCCATGCCAATGTGACGGTCACTACGATGATCTTTAGTATGACATTGTCCTTCAGCATGCAAACTAGAGCTCCAACATCCAGAGGAAACAGACAGTAGCCAAGAAGACTGAGGCTCTGGAAGAAGATAATGTGCCCACCCTGTAGGGAAACATTGACAAAAATCATTACAAGACACTACAACATTATCACATGACTATTTCTGCAGAGTTGCAAATTGAAGGCAGGCATTCACTGAGGGGGAGAGATCTTACCAGAAGCAAGACATTTAGCGTAAGAATTATAGCCCCAGCTGCTAGGACAGCGAATGCAACAGCAAATACTTCAGACTACAAAGACAAACAGCACAGAAATCAGCATAACAGAATTAAAGCTATGGAATAATCCACAAATGGACAACTATCAGGACATAGGGTGTGTTGTCGAGAAGAAAACTGCATAATGCTATGTCAACAGAGAGATTAAAATAACTGAAACCCCCAAAACAAAATAATTTGGTCAGTTTCAAACTGTGGTGATTGAATGGGGCAAACAAATACACGAGGAGATCATTAAACCATTATGATTTCTTCCATATGGCGAATCAAACATCTAGACAGCTCCCCACCAATGCATCATCAGTTCTTGAATTCTCTGAATGAGAAGTGTTGCATTTTGGTTTCTTCTAGATGCCCACCCACTATCAGTAATTACCAAAATAATTAATGCAGGTTACCAGACTCTAATCAACAACGATCATATCTCCGCACCTACATTAGTTTACTTGCTATGACACTTTTCCTATTCATATCAAGTTAGACATTTGGATATTGACAACGACCTAGTATGTTGAAAGACAACATAGATGTTAGGTAACGATCCAGTATGCTACCATATTGCGGAATAGAAAATATAAATTGTACCCAAAATCCCAAATTGTCAAAGTTCTGCATAACCAGTATACAATCAGTTCATTTAACGATATTCTTGCCTTAGAAATGACTATCGGAGGTAGAACTAAGTAGCCACACTTAAGCAATCAGACCATTTAAGCCATGCCTAGCATTTAACCTTAGCTGAGCAGACAAAACGATACAATTAATCGGACACAGCACTGTGACTTGCAAGTGATTGCTCTACTATCACCATGAACCCAGTACCTATTCAACTATTGTAAATATTAAAGCAGAGCTTCCATATGAATGGTTAGAACCGATATTTGCCTTGAACATCGAATGTATCATCTGGTTCAATAATGTATAGTCCAATCTACATTATAATACGCGTAGCATCATGAAACCTAAGAGATCGAATACTTCGCAGGCAACACCAGCATTTCCAGATCCATACAAAGTCAATCAGCCAGCGGATCTGGTTGTCGAAGGAGAGTAGGTACCTTCTTGACGGAGGCGGACCAGGAGAGTGTGAGGCCGAGGAAAACGATGAAGAAGAAGGGCCCCCAGAGATCCCAATCCCTGAGCGCCTTGCCGGGGTCCTCGCGGTAGGGGTTGGGGAAGACGACGAGCTTGAGGTTGCTGACGATGCGGGCGAGGTCGCGCTTGACGGTGTCCCACACGGGCTCGGTGAGCGTGTTGGGCGGGGGGCCGAAGCCGTCGGAGGCGATGGGGACGGAGACGGAAGCGGGCGGCGCCTGGGGCACGATGATGGGGACGGACGCGCCGGGGAGGGAGGGCTTGGCGGGGGCCGGGAGCGGGGCCGGGGAGGTGGAGACCGGGATGGAGGCGCGCGGCGGGGACGGCGGCCGCGCCGGGAGGACGGTGGCGGAGGGCGCCGCGTAGATGAGGCTCTCGATCTCGTCCATGTCGGACTGCGCCGACGACGGGTGGAGCGGGATCGTGTCGCCGTGGTTGTGCGACATGGCGGTGGCGGTGGTGGATCTGGCGCGTCGGTGGCGCGGCGGAGAGAGATCTCGCGGGAGTGCGTGCTGGGTTTGGGAGGAGAGTTGGGGTGGGGAGGTGCGGATTTGCGGGTGGGTGCGTACCTGCCTGCCGGCCTGCGACTGTGGACTCCACCGGGGGGCTTTGCTTGGGAGGAGGGAGACGCGGGATGGCACGTGATACGACGTGAGCGTTGAGAGCGCGCCCAAAGTCTGGAGAAGCTTAAAATTGGGATAAGCGGTTGATAAGAAATAATCTAAAAGCTAGTTTTTCGATTTTCTGAATTTGATACTACGGGTGTGTTTAGTTCATGCTAAAATTAAAAGTTTGGTTAAAATTGAAATGATGTGACAGAAAAGTTGGAAGTTTATGTGTGTAGGAAAGTTCTGATGTGATGGAAAAGTTGGAAGTTTGAAAAAAAAAGTTTAAACTAAACTCGGCCTACAACTATAAATTCTTAAAATCTGACTATTTGTGAAAGTTTCTCCGTAGTCGATTGCAGAGGATCCTGATCACTGAATTTAACCCGTGGAGGTTCTAGGAGAACTGTAGCACCCTTTGCCACGCTCCGAAGCGATGGTGTGGCCTACGCATTGGAGACAATGGAGATCTCCCGTCCCGAGCTTGAGAGGGATTAGTGAAAAGGACTTTCACCTTAGCCTCACTGCCTCAGTTGCTATGTTCTTCTTTTTACCTTTTCAAATGAATACTCCCTCCGTCCCATAATATAAGGGATTTTAAGTTTTTGCTTGTAACGTTTTGACCACTTGTCTTATTCAACAAATTTTAAAATTATTATTTATTTTATTTGTGACTTACTTTATTATCTACAGTACTTTAAGCACAACTTTTCGTTTTTTATATTTGCAAAATAAAATTGAATAAAACGAGTGGTCAAACGTTGCAATCAAAAACTCAAAATCCCTTATATTGTGAGACGGTGGGAGTAACATTTTAAATGAAACAAAACAAAGTTTTTCAGTATGTCCCAAATTTTTCCATTGTCTAAAACGTATCCTGCAATGTAATGGGGATTCAATTGAAGTTTGGTACAGCAAAACCAAAACATCGGATCCTTTTTTTTTAGATATTCACAATGTAAAAGTGAAAATAAGTTACTGATCAATGCAATATATATTGACCGAATATTTATTTCACTACAGTCTACGGCAGTCTTTTACAAGACATTATTTTTGACTTGTAACCACACAAATAAATAAGCAATAAATAAATTGAACCTCTATCTAACCTATGGACAGCTAAGGATTGAATGGGAAGCAACACTTCTCAAGGGCTTGTGAAAACCATTGAAAAAAGTCTAGCTGTTCTTCCTTTACATCTGTGGGTGGTGGGGCAAGCGGAAGTTCGGCAGGGAGATGTCGATGAAATGAGTCTACTGCGGCTGCCACGCCATCTTCATTCCCAATTGCTATTGCCAGTTCCATTGTTCGTGATTTTACCTTCAGCAAGGAGCCAAGAAAAGGGTTAACTAACAAACACAGACATGCATTTGCTCACTACCATTCATTTATGCAGCGACTTCACGAGATAACAGCATACTTTTACTGTCCTACATGACAAATGAGCATACACCTACTTGAATGCAGAGGTAATAAATCGTTTATTTCTTTTCATGTCAACCTGGCAAAGCATGCCCCGAGTGTTGTCAGGGGTGCCTTTGTCAATACTATCTCCTAGTATCTCAAAAGTTATGCCACAATTTTGTAGTGAACGTGAAGTTTAGCAATTGTTTGGACTCCTAATGTACTCTTTTACTCCCTCTGTTTGTTTCTCTTTTTTTTTTTACGTTGGATAGTTCAAAATTGAACTAACCAACGTCAAATAAAAGAGAATGGAGGGAGTGTCAGTTTGGAGGGAAGTCCGCTCCAAGCTCTTGAGGAAATAAACACAAAAGATTATAAACATAAAATAAAATGGAAGCATAGAAACAGTACTACCTCAGGATCAAGCATGAATCTTATAGCATTTGAAAGTGCCTCGACAGTAAGTTCTGCTATAGGAATAGGTGCAGGGCCAACACCTTGTGCATGAATTCTCTCACCCCAGAAGAATTGATCTCCAAAAAATGGCACTATGGTAGTTGGGCACTGTTAAGAGTAAAGAAATAAGAAACGACATGGAGAAATACTGACGATAGTTATTGTGAAGGAAAATATATGACATTTTATGCATATTTAATAAGATCTTGTATATTGAGGAAACTATGAATACAAGGATAACATTTTTCATATGGATGGAGGGCTGAAAAGGCCCTGGTTTTGTTTTGTAATCAAGTGACATGTTTTCTGCTAAAAACATGAAAATATCACATTCGAAGGCTCCAATATTAATCCAACCTCCATCGGTATTGAAATATCATTTCAGTTTGTAAAGAGACTAGTTGCTTACCCCAGCTACAAGCCCCGCGGCTGTGGTACCAGCCCCACCATGATGTACCTAATAAACAAACATATAACCTGATAAGTAACATATTCGGGAACATAATGCACTACTATTGAACATCACAAGATTCACGTTAACGAAATTTATAGTTACTCTGAGCAAAAGTTTTCATTCTATTGATGCTTGATACCATATGGTAACATTCGTTTAAAAAATTACACATTGTGACGCTTTCGACCATATTATAAATACAGCTACCACATTGTTTGCTCGTACCAGCGTATTCTGTGATACCACACAATATATCACTGCATATTGGAGGTAGCATTTAATTGTTTTATTTTAAAATAAAGATTAAATAATTCTATAATGGTGTATACAACTCGGTGAAAAAATCATGGTTAGAAAAAAGAAAAAAAGAGAGGAAAGGCAGTCTTCTAAATGGTGGTGTTGCAATATAAAACTAACCACTGCAGCACAGCGAGGAAACAGCCAGTCGTGAGGGCAATCCTCCAAAATGAAGACATCAACTGGAACTTCTGAAACTGCAATTGCAGGTTGCATTCATAAATGTACAAGGTAGGTTAGTTCGTTATTCTGTGTCCATCAGATGTCAATCCCAACATTAAACAGAACAAAAGTCAGACCAAATTTAATCTTCTCTAACCATATTTAGTCAAGAGCTACAAGAAATGACAGTCTACCAGATTTAAAATAGGTTGCTACAGAACAACCATATTTAGTCAAGAGCTACAAGAAATGACAGTCTACCAGATTTAAAATAGGTTGCTACAGAACAATGCCCGCATGTTTGAAATCTACTACCTAGTACACACATGCTCCAGAATAACTACATCAAGAGATAGTACGCACATTGTAAAGATTGAAAAGAAGCACAATTAGAATTCAGAAACAACTTACAACTTCCAAGATCTCCCCAACCCCGACTAATGATTCCTCTTTGTCCTGTTTCTCTTAGTGCGTCCAGAATGACAGAAGTGACTTTTTTTTCATCACCAAGAGGCTTCAAACACAACAAAAACCACATTAGCAGAACTATACAGTTCTCATAACGGAACATAAGAGGAAATAATTCTCATATCAATCCCATCATAGATGTCTCAAAGGGCTGTGAGTTTAAGGCTGAAAACTTCTGAGTATCTAATTTTCACAATCTAAGAAGATCTATCTATTATTTATGTAGCCAAAATAACATGATTCAGTTCAGATGTATTAGGAAAACTTCCATTGGCATATTGCAAGTTATCAAAGGATTAGATGGATGAAAAAAAATTGCCGTTCAGAAAAACAAACAAGGGGGATGCAACTTGCATGGTGGAATGAGAATACAAAAGGTATTCTTATGGTTAGTTTTTATATGAAAATATTGTTGTCATACTTATTGAAATTATAGTATTCAAAACACTAGGTTATTGAACAGTCTTCTACTCATTTTTCACATAGGGATCATACCATGCTACCAAAACCAATATATATTGGTTTTGGCCCCTGTTGAAGCCACTGAGAAAGCTCTTGCGGTGGTTGATACTTTGTTCCAAGATTTAAGAAGCAATATCCCACAACATCCACGAGAGGACCCCAATCTGTAGATGAAAAAACATGCACACAATAAGATCCTAAGATATTTGTAAGGCATGAAAATCAACAAACAGGTCATGGTGGTATAATTATAAACGAGCATGATGATGATTCATTTTGTAAAAGCTAAGTAAGTTTTACATCTGCAGACTGAGTTGCTTGATGCAGAAAATATGTTGTAGGGGTCCAAAGCGCACATAGGTCAATGGGGATAAATGTTATCATGATATTTGCGAAACAAAAAAAAAATACATACGCTAGTATTTCTTTTTGTGTGTGTGTGGGGGGGGGAGGGGGGGCATATATTAGTGTTTCTAACCATGCTGCCATCCATATCTATATATATGGTCAGCTACCCTCACATGCACAAAAAATGGACCCTGTCAAGAGGGTCCTATCACTTTATTGTAATGGGCTAGGATACCTAATTACTTGGATTTATGTTTACACCATAAGGAAGAAAATATATCTACCATATACATGAGACAAAAAAAATGATGTGCATTTCATGTTGAAGCTCAATTATGCACTAACAGATAAGTTGTATCATGAAATTTTAGAAAAAAGTTTATATAAGGATACCATTTGGCTTCGGCATTAGATGAGGGCTCCACATGTATCCAGTAGGTAAGTGTGATATAGATCCATGATATGTGCTGAAATAGGCAATAGGGGCCAATTTTAACTTCTTCCTGAACTCATTTATGAATCCCCTGGTGCCCCACCAAATTACTAAATCCAAAATCAGATAGGATAGCTGAATGTGAGAGGTAAGCATGTCAGAATCTGATTCATTTTTAAAAAATCAAGACAGATCAATTCGACTGTTATATACATATAATGGAAAATAACATATCTAAATTGTGGCTGCACAACTGTGAAAAAGGTAGAGGTTGTACCCTGTAAGTTGCACTCTGAGGCATTCGTGCCAATGGATGAGGGAACTCATTAGTTGGCCTGCCTACAAATATTGGGAGTTAGAAAAAAAGGATATATATCAACCTTACACAAAGAGTACACCATAAATCTTCTCAAATAAAAAAGGAATCAGTCATAGTGATCGTAGGTCCTGCCATCCAGCTCCTATCCTCACTTCAAAAGATTGAGGATAACCTACATGGATATGTAGGAGTGCATCCTCTGCCCACGTGTT